ATTCTGGAATATTTTCGTTTACGGGATATTCATTGTAATACTGATGCTGTTTAGGTAGACTAGTTTTATAGTAGCGATGATTATAATGGCGACAATTATACAAAAAAATGGCGTAAGCTCTTCGTAAATCAAATATAAAACAAATAATCGTGAATGATACATACACACTATTTCTGATAATATTTCTTACGTTTTGATGATACCTATTAGTAATAGGTAATAGTAATTAGTAATAGTATTACTCCTCATTCACCCAACAAAATCAACAACAGATAGATCGACTACAACTTTAATCACCAAATAATCAGCGGAATGTGACTACGGAAACAAACCCACTGACCTTCCTGGAGAAAGTGAGAGTGCCTGCAGGCGTTGTGTCGCTCAGTTTCCTGAAGTAGTGTAGGAGTGCCTTCAGTTTCACTCGCTGGCTCTCTCTGTGGATGGAGGGGGGTGGGATTAAAATGCTGATGTTTAGTTCGTTTCTCTTAAAGATTTCTCTTTCTTTCTCTCTATCTCTCTCTCTCTCTCTCTCTCTCTCTCTCTCTCTCTCTCTCTCTCTCTCTCTCTCTCTCTCTCTCTCTCTCTCTCTCTTTTTCGTTCCTCTCAACCATCTTTAAAAAAATAAAAGCTTTAGGGAGAATCAGTGAACCCTGCAACGGCTTTCTCTGTGGGAGTTTATTATACTTTTTTATTATCAGTTCCTCTCAGTGATATATATAAACAGTTCCTTTAAGAAGAATCAGAGGACACCAGTTTCTTTCAGAGGAATCACAAAATCGCAAATCTCCGTAAGACGAAGCCTTGAGCCCAATTTCTTTCAGAACGATCTTAGAACAACGCGTTTTCAATGGATTTTATTTCCTATGTTAACTTCTCTGGTTCCTTTCGAGGGTAACATTGGACCCCCCCCCCAAAAAAAAAAAAAAAAAAAAATATATATATATATATATATATGTATACATATATATATATATATATATATATATATATATATATATATATATATATATACAAGTGAAAAAATCCGGATTGCGACATATCAAGTTAACTTCCCAGGGAACATATAACCAGGTAGCTCCACTTCCACTTGTCCTGTTCAACCAAAATATGAAAATGACTTTTTCCCAGGAGTATTCTGACAACTGTTAATGGTAGGACCTCTTCGTTATCATAAACAAAGGGGGAGGGCATTTTTTGTAAATGGTACAAAGATGGTAAAAGTCTTTTCAGTGTATTTTCTTTGAAAATGCATAATCAATAACAATGGTAGGTAAATATAAATGAAAACGAAACCTAGATTTAAATAGCACAGAACAGTAGATGCCAACTAATATTTTCATCAACACGGAGTGAAGCTACCTGGTTCAAACTAACTTGTATCTTCCAGACCACATAATAGGTATATATCTTTTATCCCATCCTCCATGAAATGAAGAAGAGGAACAAAATATAATAAAAAGAAGAAGAAGAAGAAAAACTATTAAAAACCCACCCAACACAATACACCACACAACACATACAAATAAGGAAAAACACAAACGAACAGACCTACCTGTTGAGAGACGAGAGCGTAGGGGCGAGGCAGGGATCCGAGAGCGTTGGATGAGAGATGAGGGAGCGCCTCGGCAGGGTGCAGAAAAAGACATGCGCCAGGAGAGATGTCACTAAGGCGCGTTCCATTGTCACTTCTTCGTCTGTGTGCGTGTGTTTTTTTTTTTTTTTTTTTTTGAGAGGAAGATGAGGTGGGAAGGGGTTGGGGGAGAGGGAGGGAGGGGAAAGGGAAGGGAAGGGAAGATAAGTTGGGATTACTTCTATTATAATCTCTCCCTTTTTTATACGTTTTGGTTTGTTTTGTTTCATTTCTCTTATTTATTTTTTTATCTTTGTCTTTCATTGTTTTTCTTTTATTATCTCTCTCAAGAAAGAGATACGTTTTATATATACATAATCTATACTTGGTATAATTTCATCCGTTATTGTTTTACACACTCTCTCTCTCTCTCTCTCTCTCTCTCTCTCTCTCTCTCTCTCTCTCTCTCTCTCTCTCTCTCTCTCTCTCTCTCTCTCTCTCTCGTACATAACATACAATTAACTTGAATTTGATGACTGTGCATTCATCAGACTGGAATTCAAAACAACTGTGTGGAAAACTTCAAATAAAGCATGGACAAGACTCTAATAAAGCACAGTATGCAACACAGATGTAATACGTCAGCCTGAAGAGAGAGATACGCATTATATATACATAATCTATACTTGGTATAATTTCATCGATTATTGTTATAACATGTATCTAGATATGCATTTGGACACACACTCTCTCTCTCTCTCTCTCTCTCTCTCTCTCTCTCTCTCTCTCTCTCTCTCTCTCTCTCTCTCTCTCTCTCTCTCTCTCTCTCTCTCTCTCACACACACACACACACACACTACACACACACACACACACACACACACACACACACACACGCACACACACACACACACACACACACACATACAA